TCGAAGTCAATTTGCAAAGTCAAAATCCAAAATGCAAAGCTAAAAAACAAAGTGCCGCTGCGAAGCTAAAATTTGCCGCTGCGGGCAAAATTTGCCCACGACGCCAAAGCTAACTTTTCTGGCTTCTTTGGTCTATTGGGTGAACAAAGTCCAGCGCGCGGTGGCGAACAATGAGAGGCTCCGACGGAGCACCGGATCCGGAGGGCCCTGCATATTCAGGTTGACAGAGGCCGTGGCCGGTTCGGCGTCCGAGTCCAGGAACGCCCTCAGCAGTTGGCGATCATTGCGTGGGCGTCGTGACTCCTCCCAGCGCAAGGCGTCAGATTCGCAGGTGCGAAGACGCCACGGGACCCAGATCGGCTGCGAAGTGTCATGGTGGCTCTTCAGAAGCGACAAAAAATCCAGAGACGGTGTAGTCTCTGGAGTAAGTAGTTCCCCAGGATACTTGGCAAGGAAAGTCTTGCGCAAGTGGAGAAGGTCCGGGGCTGCAATCTTGGACGGAGATCCAGACGGCGGGGGCGGGGCCATGGGAGTGGCCCCGGTTGCCACACGTAGCGGGGATGCAAACTGTGCCTCCATAAAAAGGCGACGGATGCACGCCGCGTCGGAGGAGACATGAGCTTGAGCATCATCCTCCTGGAAACCCAGCAAGGTCTGCACAAACAGCTTGACCTGAGCGCTGTCGGATGGGTCAGCAATGGCGAAAGCCAAGGAACCCAGGGACAGGAAGCCTTTAGCGGTCAAGGCTGAACGTACGCCGGGTGAGGCATCCAGCTGGTCCAGCAATGCCACCAGAGCCGCGGGGTCGTCCAAACGTGGGCGAGCCGCCGTCGGGCAGAGGGGCGAGAGGCAAGGAGCCAGTGGAAGCAGAAGAAAGAAAAAACGGCTGCGGCAGGAACAAACAGACAAGCATCAAGCAAGAGGGGCGGGGGCGGGCTGGCCAACAGGACCCGCGGCACATTCGGAACCGCAGTGCGGTGTTCCAACGCGGAAAGAAGCGTCCAAATGCGCATGCGCAGATCCGGTGCCAGAAAAGTCAGTGCGTCCAGAAGCTGGCCGTCGGAGGAACCGGGCCGTACCAAAATAGCGGGCACACCGACGTAGCCTGTATGCTCCGAACTCCCGGACCATTGGCTGGCAGAATTAGACCGGTGCCCATGCGCTGGGCCACGGGGAAGGATCCGACAAATTCGGTGCTGGAGCCGGAGTATTATCCTGGGGCGAGGCCCAGGTAGCATCGACCTCAGGAACGGAGTCCTCCGGAGCGGCCACCGGAGACACGGACGGGGGCGGCTCCGTGACAGCTGCGGCTTGCGCCTCACGAGCCTCACGGCGGAAATGGTCGGAGAGCTCTTCCTCGGGGATGTCGTGCGGTACCTGACCAGACATGATGCAGCAGGGAGAAAAGACCAGAGGGGGCAGGGCGCAGCTCGAGGACAAAATGGCTGCGGGAGAACAGCAAGGGAAAACGGGCAGAGCAAGGGAACAGCAACACGAAAAGCCCACAGCAACCGAGCAAGTTCCCTTTTTTCACGCTGCGGCAGAGGCCGGCAGGCGTGAGAAGCAACTGGAGCGCGTGCAGGACGCGGCTCCGGAAGGCAGCTTCGGAAGGAAGCTGTCTTCGTCCAGTTGGTGCGTCCGGGCACCACAGAGCGGGCGCAGCCACAGCTCGGAGCCATCAATGAGGTACTTCCTCGAACGGGTAGCACCGGGCTCAGTGGACATAGCGATATGCACTACGTTACTGCGAGCGTTCCACAGGAAGCCCGCAGAAGGGATGGACGCAGAGGCGGGGCCAGCTGAGGACCCGCTGGTTCCAGCCTTCTGCATTGTGGGGGGTCCCTGCTCCTCATCCTCTGAAGAGTCAGAAGATTCAGAGGAAAGGGACTCCAGGTCAGGTTCTTTCTGTGGCGTGACCGGGGGCGGCAAGGCCAGCGTGTCACCTGGAGGCGGGGCAGCAACGTCGACAGGACGGTTGGCTAGGGCTTCAGGCAGGCAGTCGGCCGCAAGGCTGAACGTATCTGGCAGAGCAGCTGCGGAAGGAAGCGTGACCGGGAAGTCCGGGAGCGGAACATCCAAACCTCGTGCCATGGGTTGCAGCGGGCGAAAACCAGTGCGTATCGCTTCCACAACTAAGCGCTGCAGGCGAAGCATCGGCAGAATGTCGTCCCTGCTGTACAGGGAGACAGAGCGATCAGACCCAGAAAGGCGGTGATGCCCCTACGCTCTCTGACGTTTTTTCCTGCGTGCCCCTTTCTGACTCCCTCGAACACCTGGTCGCTCTGGTGCTTGATGTGGCTAAGGCCCATCGCCGCATCCTGATCCGCAAGCAGGACAGGGGTCTGCTCTGCTTCCGTCACAGGAACGTCCTGTACCAATGCACCACTTTGAATTTTGGTGCGCGTGTGTCTAGTTTCTTATGGGCCCGCGCTGCGGGGCTGCTTGTTCGTCTGATACACCGTCTGCTCCGTGTCCGACATTCGGCGCAGATATATGTGGATGACCTCCTTATAGCCTGCTGGACTCTGTGTCCGCGCCGGTCTGGGCATCGCTGGTTGTCATCCTTACTCATGCTCATTCGTGTTCCGCTCTCCTGGCACAAGTGCGCTCTCAGCGCCAAAGTCGTCTGGATCGGATGGGAACTGAACCTGTCGGTCTTTACGGTGCGGCTCGACCCAGTCAAGTTCCAGCGCCTCTGCGCCCTTCTTCGCCAGGCGTCGCTGTTCCGGTCATGTCCTGGAGCGCATTACAGGGAAACTCCTCTGGCTCTCATCTGTTTCGGGAATTTCGCCCTACTCTGGCCCCGCTTTATGCCGACCAGCATGCCCTGCTACCGTCCATGACGGCCCTTGATCCGCGCCACTGGGAGACTCTACGCTCCAAGCTGTCGCCTGACCTCAGGGTTCTGGACAGCGTCGGCATCGCTTCTCTGCCCCCTGGTTCTCGCATCACCCGTGTGGCACAGACACCTGCGCAGCGTCTCTCGGACCTCCCGGTGTTGGCTCCTGACACGCGTCGCATCTGGATCCAAGCCGTGTCTCCACACACAGGGATCTGCGTCCTCTCTGATGCCTCTCCCTAAGGCTCCAGTTAGCCTATT